TGAGCCAAACCAGCTAGGGCCTAGTTTCTTTATATGTACAGTGTACCCACAGCACAGCACCCACAGTGATCTTTTCAGAATATAGATCATGCCAGATCAGCTACATAACTTGCGGAGCTCCTTGTAAAAAATTTATTAAAAATCTCGACAGTTACAGCAGCGCATTGAATTAAGTACAGTCATCCTATGCAACCACACAGGTCACACGCTCATGAGCTGGTGACTGTCTCCTCTGCTCAAAACCTTCCAAACATGCCATACCTCACTCAAAGTCAACCCAATGTCCTTAAAGGGGAAGGCAGCTCTTCCTAGTCTCCATGCCACACCTGTGAGCCTCCTCTTCATGTCCTTCACCCAGCAGCACGGGCCTCCTTACTGCTCCTCACACCCTCCAAGCATATTCCTTCCTAGTGGCTTTTGTACTGGCGACTCCTCCTGCCTGGGAAACTCCCTTAAATGTGGTTCTCTTGGCTCCTGTCTCACCTCCTTCCACTCGATGCGCAAATATTATGTTCCCAATGAAGCCAACCGGGTGCCGTTTAAAACTGTAGCTGCCACCACCTCCCTGCCCCCATTCCGGAGCCCTTCTTACAGCGTCCTTTCCCCTCTCCCAGGCATCACCTCTTAACACACGAGTGAGCACATAACCAGTGGGGTCTGTTCCAGGGGAACGGAAGCTCCATGGCAGCGAGTCTTTCTTTCATTATGGATCAGGAGCTGTGCCTAGCAAATCGGAGGCGCTTGCTGAATATTCCTCGATTCAGTGACCACGGGGAACGGCCATCAGCACTGCTATATGGTGGCGAAGAGTTGGAGGCGATCTGGTCTCCTTCCTCAAGTGCAGAGTGAGCATCTGCAGAGCGTAGGCTGCTGCACAACAGTCACACACAGGGGCCCAGGTCTAGTTAGCAACCTGAATAGCTCTCCAAAGAAATGTGATATCACCGGCCGGCGTGGCTCAGCTATGAGCCAGGAGGTCGCGGTTCAATTCCCCGTCAGGGCACATGCCCGGGTTGTGGGCTCCATCCTCAGTGTGGGGCGTGCAGGAGGCGGCTGATTCTCGCTCATCATTGATGCTTCTCTCTCTCTCCCTCTCCCTTCCTCTCTGAAATCAATAAAAATAGATTAAAAAAAAAAAAAAGAAACCCCTCTCTCAACCACATGTGGACACAGCAAGAAGAGGACCAGGACGAGTCTTCACAGAAACAAAAAGAACACAAGGTGGTAAGGGGAACGATGAGCATTATGTAAATGAAGGTGACAAAGGAATGCTAAACAGCTGTTACAGAGCCGCTGGCCTGGCCTAACACCACCGCCTGCCTCGGCTGAGCAAACACACACAGGGCGGGCAGGGCGGGCGGGGAGGTGACCCAGGGGAGCCGGTGAGTCCGAGTCCTTGGCCCCGACAGGTGGCCAGGGCGCACCGGAACGGGAGGTGGTCGCCTCAACCCCCTGCACCCCGAGA